ATATTATTAAAATAAAAAAAAATATTATTAAAATAAAAAAAAATATTATTAAAAAATTTATTATTAAAATAAAAATAAAACAGTTATTGAAATGAAAATAAAATTATTAAAATAAAAATAAAACTGTGATTAAAATAAAAATAAAATTATTAAAAAAAAAATAAAATTATTATTAAAATAAAAATAAAACTGTGATTAAAATAAAAATAAAATTTTTAAAGTAAAAATAAAATTATTAAAATAAAAATAAAATTACTAAAATAAAAATAAAACTGTGATTAGAATAAAAATAAAATTACTAAAATAAAAATAAAATTATTAAAATAAATATAAAATATATATACAAAAAAAAATATATATATATAAAAAAAAAATAATAGCATCAAGGGCAATTAGCCATTAAGTTGCAACAAAATTGGTTTAAGTGTATTTGAACACCAAATAAATTTCCAAATTAAAATTTATACAATTTTTTAATTTTGTTTATATCTTAATGTTTCCAGTTTTGTTTTAAATTTCATAACTGTGAAAAATATAATTATGTATATAAAATATATACAATAAAAAATTGCGCGTAAAAAGTTTTTGAAAAGATTTATGGATTACTTTTAAGCTGTTGCCACCTCTTTGCTTTGTACCAAGTACCGAACAAAGGTAAAAATTTCCTTGTTTCAGAAAATGAAATCTGGAGGATATTGTTTATATTGTTTATACAATAATGTAAAGATTTTGGGTATAAAAATAGACTTACAGACGAATACGTGTCTGTAAGATGTAATGGCACGTAATTTTGACGTCATGTGTTTATTTACGTAATGTTATTGATACGTACGTACTATTATCATCGCACCGGGAAAATATTTCAGTTTATAAATAACACGATTTATAAAAATTAATTGAAAATTAAGCACTTACTTTCCCTAATACAATAATTTTATTTTTAAAATTAAAAAATATATTTATGGCATTGCAAGCGAAATGATAAGATATTTGTTTTTTATTTTATGTAAAGACTTAAGGTTTCTTAATGATAATAATTTTTTATATATAATAACTTGATGATATAAACGTACTCGTATTTTCTTTAAGTAAATTTGAACAAATGTTTTATACGACAATGCATAAAAAAAGGTAAAGAACAGTGTTTGTTATTATTTGAAATAAGTTTCTCGTGATAATATTCTAATACATTTGCTAATTAGTATTTAATTATACTTATATTTATATAAAACGGAAATAACAACATATATACGAATAGTAAAAGGATTTTTATATAATTCTTTTTTGCAAAAACTTAAACAATTTTTATTATTTTATATACTAATAATATAATAATTTAATAAATAACACAAACAATTTCTGACATATTTTAACATTTATGGCTCTAATAGTCTAATAAGCTATAAACTGTTGTACGTCATAACTTCTGAAATTAAATATTTTTGAGACTTAATAATTTATATGTTTGCATGGTTTTTTTTATGTTAGAGTTTCTTTCGACATTGTCTCTTAAATAAATATAAATACTGAAAATGGACCAAATCTGAACAAGCTATCATTTCCAGAAATACGAAAAGCTTTGTATAGGAAGATTTATTTACAAATCCACACTAGTAGTGACTGGATTTGTAAAGTAAAATATTAAATATAAACCAAATCCAATAAAGACCTTTTTAAATAGAACAACAGCCAATATGATTCAGTTATAAAGCCAGTTATATAGCAACTTAAAGAACAATTCATTAAAATCAACTTTACCACTTTACCAAATTCCCACCTGCTTCAAATTATATTAACATATTAATAATTCAATACAAAAAAAAAAAAAAAATATAAAATAAATAAATAAAAATTATCTTTAAAGCGCTAAAAAATATAATATAAATTTATACTCAAGTACACAGGAATTTAATATATATAAATAACAACAATTTATATGCATTTTTGGATATTTTCTTTAGGCACGTTTAAATAATTTGTCATTTTTGTATTTTTAGATCATATCACTGACAAGTGATATGAAGATGAGTATCATAGATAATATACTGAAAATAATCAAAAAAAAAAAAAATAATAATAATAATAAATAAGTGTGTTTCTTTTTTTTAATTAAAAGTAAATAAAAAATGGTCTAGACAAGCTAGGAATATCTCGTACACGGGTCTATTCCGGGTGGAAATATATGTATTTTACGCATTTGCGTTTTAGACTGATAAATTATTCAAAAAATAAATATTCAGTTTTCTTAAATCAAACAATTTTTTGTTATACTATAGTTGTGTAGTGATTAGTAAGTACAGATATTTAGATCTTATTGTTTTAATCTTATTGTTGTATCTGACATCTGCTTACAATTCAAATATAGGTTAAATAAATCTTTTATAACTAATTTACATTCCAGTGTAGATACAGCAAAACAATAACTGATTGACGCAGTTAAAAATATCGACTGTTTGTAATTCTGCGAGATACTTAAGTATAAATATAAAAATAATACTTATTTATTAATTATCTCTTGTTTCAATTATACTTGCGTGCATATTTTTAAAAAATTAAAATCTGGATTCATTAATTTTGAAATTCTGTTTTCGCAACAACTTCAGAGATACAATTTTATTAAAAAATAACAATTTTAGTATAAAATATTTACTTGAAGAGTTTTCCTTCCCATCATGAATCTAATTCTGCAAATTCTTTCGACTTTTCGTATATATTCATTCTAGTTGATTTTTATTAATTCTTAGATTAAACTTAAAAATAAATTAATATACAGTAAATTTTACTCACCCTGCTTATTTTTGCACGTGATGAGTTTTTATCCTTCATTTCGAATTCACTATCACTATCAACTGGATTTGTGCCTAAATTAACTTCTTCTACTTCAGAGCGTTGCAGTTTACGATATTTTCGCATATCATGCTTAGCCGGATTATAATCACGTTTCTGTTCGTAACCCGGTAAACCAAGTTCATTGGTCTCGTCGTTAAATTCACCTGAACTGAATTCTCCTTCTTCGTCCTCGTCAGAATATTCAGCGACGCGATCTGTTCAACAACATAAAGGCAGTACTTGTATTTTTAGTAAATATTTAATTTAATGTATAAAGAATTTAATGAATAAATAATTTAATGAATAAATAATTATGTGAATAAATAATTATGTGAATAAATAATAAGATGTATAATTAATAAGATGAATAACTTTATTAGATGAATAATTTATTATATGAGTTATTGAATTAAATTAAATTAAATACAAAAAGAGACCACATATATCTTACATAAAGGAAATACGTTCAAAATTTGATATGTGCACTAATTATTTTGAAAAGTAATTTATTTTTTTCTAAGTTTTATCAACAATTTTTTTTTATTTATTTTTTTAAATATTTGTTTATCTTGTTGACACTTTTTTTTACTCTGGTGTTATTATATATTCTTATTATTTTTTAATTCGCAATTTCACAATTTGCAAAATAAATTACTCTATTTTTTTTTTGTTTTGTTTTATTAAAAATCAATTTTTTTTATTAGTAAAAAAATAACCAAAATTCAAGGTTTTGGAAAACACTTAACACTTTTACGCGTTAATATTTCACTAAACGATTTGTATCTTTCAGATTAATTGCTGGTGTGTAAGCGCTTTTGTGGTTGCTTGCCTGATTGCGTTCAACTACTAAATGAAATTATTTTCGTTTGATTTTTAATTTTACAATTCACGTTTTGCGCTCAACAACAAATCCAGAGCAACAAATTATCAAGCGAAGAGTGGAAATTGGACGACACGTACATAGATTGAAAGTACTAGGTCTTTTCCACAATTACTTGAAATTTTATTAGCCTTCACTGACAGACAAGCTAACAGCTATGGAAATTTGCTCAATTTGTTGTTGAATTTGTTGAATTTGTCGGCAGCAATCAAAATTTAACTGAAAATCAAAATTTTACTCATTCACATTAACAACAAAAAATAATTTTTTATTTTAAAAATAAACCAAACACTCATGCACTCAATTCAATTGTATCTTAAAAATTTGTTGTATCTTAAAGTACGACGCTGGCGCTTACGTGCTTAAGTAAATGTAGTGTTGCTTGCTACTAACAGTTAGTAGCGGCGTTTGGCTAATTCGTGCGCTCATTTACTCATTTACCACTTGATTGTTTTGTTTCTTGTTTTTTGTTTTTTGTATTATTCATATCTATTCATATTTTTTTATTTTCTTGGTAAGCAGATACTTTCATAAAAGCAAAGCAAAGCAAAACAAAACAAAACCAAACAAATCGTTCATAATATTTGACTTTTCCTTCAGCTCACATATATCTGTTGCTTTTCATTGCTGACAATTGAGTATCTCAGTATCTAGATACTGCTCACGTTTTGCCATTGCCATTGCCGGCCGGTGTGTAGCTACAACGCTATGTTATGTTACAAATGATTTACTATCCACAGACATGCCTTAGAATTATATACTCGTAAAACTATAGGTGTGGGTTATTAGTTAAAATACTATAAAGGAAAGGAAGTTGTAAATATGTTTGAGGTAATTTTCAAAATTTCGAATTTAATTCAATTATACTGCGCAGAATTTCAACAGCAGCAACATGACTAAGTTAATTGACGGGAAAAGAGTATTTATTACCAAAATTTAAGCTCTTTTAGCGGAATTTCGCTATGAAAAGCTGAAATAAGCGGATTAATTTGATATCTTCAAAGTCCATTGAACCTATTATTGCTGCTCACTATAAAGGCTAACACAATACCGTTAGGCTCAGTAGAAATTTGTTTCCACATTAAATTTTCATGCTGTATGAACTAATATGATTTTCACAAATTTTCCAAAAATTTATATTTTCATACACAAACAAACCAAAAAAAACAGAAACAACCAAAAAAAAAAAACAGAAACAAACTAAAGTAAAAGTTGTCTTTCGTCTTTAATGAAATTAAAACGATTGAAGTGAATTTATAATATATGGGGTATCATGGAGTTTCGACTAAAACCATAATTTTTCAAATGAAATTAATTCAATTAATGTATTCAATTAAAAATTAAGCCTATTTCATGGTTATACTTTATATATTTGACAAGATAAAAAAAAACAAAAAAAAAAATTAAAACACTACAGCTCTTGTTGAAATTTCTTGGCTTAGGAGAAAAGAAAGTAACTAAGCATATAACTAATTACATTTAACCTAGTTAATACCAACATGATTGTCACTAATATCTCCAAGCTCACACACCCTCTACGTGGCTTTCCTTGAATAACCACAATCATTCGTGCATAGTGGATAAAAAGTTATCTGTAAAGCTGTAGGTTAACTTTAACATTTGAAACACCTCCTCAATGAAAATGGAAAGAAAGCCTTGTAACAGAATACCGCCAAGAGAAAAGAGAGGAAGGGAGCATACTAGGTAATTTAATGATTATGGTCACTGCTCTCTCTCTTTCTCTCTCTAAGTCAACACAAACCCACGGTTGCCACTTATGGTACTTTAGTACCAAAATTGGTTCTTTTTTTTCGTTTGGTACTCATGTTCAAAAAATGGTACATTTTTGACGACCCAACTTTATTGTGGATATTTCCAATAATTTTTTTTATAAATGCAACTTTGCACTATTTTATATTTTGTTCATTTATAACACTATGAAAAACAGAGAACGAAAAAATAAAAAGATCCAAAAAAATTTTGGATCTTTTTTTACAGAAATGGTACCTTTTTAAACCAATTTTGGTACAGGAAAAAATTTTCAAGTGGCAACCGTACACACACCCTCTACACTGATTCTATTGAATACTTACAATAATTCGTGAGTAATGAAAAAAGTTTTCAATAAAACCTACCTAATGAGAGTAATCTTATTCACTCAGCTTAGAGTTAAGGACATATAGAGCTTAGAACTCATCATCTAAGCATTCCTTCAAAATAAATTAAAAGCCAGATCCAGACACTGCCTGGATACGACTAACGATGATGTATGTGTTAAAATATCAACTAAACAGGTCAATAAGTTTTATTATTATTTTACTCCAAAAATAAGAAATGCTTAC